AGATATCTGCCACAGAAACAACCCAACAACCGAAGCTACAGGACCCGGACATCCAGCCAGAGCTTGGACATCCACCACCCTCCCAGAAATCCGATACCCCATATCCATAGAGCAACCGAAACCGGCCCCCGCCAGCTTGGACGTCCGGCACCTGTCTGCGCACAGTGAATGAGCCGAAGGCCCATGTATCTCTCCAACTCATCCCACCTCCGTTACTTGACTATATATAGACGTCCTCCTCCTCCTCCTTCTCCTCCTCCTTCTAGGGTTGGCATTGTGATAGCTCATTGTTGAGATAGAGCTTTGCTCATCCACTTATCCCTCTACTCCATTGGAGGCCAAGGCCTCCTAGGAGAAGATCCCCCAAGTGGGTTCAAGACCCCCATTGTGGGAAGATCCTATATGGATTCAAGACCTCTTTACTCATAGTATTGGGATGAACTAGTTACCCTTGTATCCTCCCTTGTTGTCCTTCGATCTTTGTTACATCTATGTGTATATGGATCTAGCACATGTGTGATTGTTTCTCGTTGATTTGAGTGTTTCCTCTCGTTCCCCTCATGTTTTCCTCTTGTGTGTTCATCGTGTTCTTCGGGAATCCCCCTTCCAATCGTGAAAGATCAGCCCCTAGGGTTCCACTCTACATCACCATGGGCTCGCGTCTGCAATGTCCATCTCACTTGTGTAGAGAAGGGAAAGTAGTGGCTGAAACCCAACTCGGTGCACCCACGCAAGAAAACATAGCAAAACATTTAAAAAAAATCCAAAACTTTGTTTGAATGATCATCATAATTATCATCAAAAAATTATGGGTGCTTGCAAAGTTGGTAGTCAAATAACATTCGAGGAGCTCTGGACAAAAAGACAAAATTTGACCACCAAACTTTGCAATTGTTGCCACGCCTTCAGCTTCTCTGATAGTATTTCATATCAGACAAAAAAGGGAGAGTCATTGCCAGACTACTGCAATTGTAGCCACACCTCAGACTTCGCTCAGCCTTAATGCCAACACCGACATCTTTCGTGGGTCCCGCTTACCTCCTCGGCTAAAGATCACACTCATAGTGTAGCAGTTCAATCGGAAATGACCCAAAACTAAGTGAGTCAAGCGGACATGACCCAAAACTGGTGAGTTAGATGGTTTGTCTAATTGCCAAACATTGACGCATAAACTTATCGATATATGCTACTATTCAATTGTGTTTTATTCATCTTTAGTATCTTGTATTTTAATAATACATTTTTGAGTCACTATGGGAAAACATCAATCTGGTTTCTCTAAGCGCAAGAGGAAAGAGAGAGAACAAAATTTAGTTGATAAATCTTATAAGGGTGGACTGGAAAGATATATTAGAAAAGAAGCACTGCCCGACCCTAAAGAGGGGGTGGCAACAATGCTGCCTCCAAGAACATCAACGATGCCCGTAGCCGCCGCCATCACTGGTCACATGCCCAAGGCCGAGATAGAGTCTTCACACAAGCTTCCATACAAAGCAGCAAATGCTTTTTGAGCATACAAAACAACAGTCTTGACAAGTCCGCCAAAACCCATCACCACCAACGAGCGAGCCCACAAACAAAGAAGCCCACCGCAACAGAGCACCAACAACACCTGCGGAGGTTGCCGGTGTACACCCACCAACACAACAGTGGATGCTCAAAAAAGAAAAGAAATAACCAACACAACAGTGTGAATCTGAAGATCCAATTGTATTATAGGTGATTGATATGTGTTTTGTGAGGGTGGATTGCTTTTTTTTTGAGAAATCTTGTGGTGTGTATCAATACTTGTGCCATCAACACATAAACATTTTGTTTAAAAAAATACATAAATATTTTCTATGGTAAGAAAAAACATAGAGGTTTTCAACCGATATTCCTACTAGAAAATGCTAAGAAAAAACATAAAGGTTTTCAATCAATATTCCTACAGACGAATCATATTTTTCATCTGTCCTCGAAAAATCGGAAAAAAAAAAGGGAAAAGAGGCAACCGGCGGACAGAGTTGCTGCGCAGCGGCGGCGGCCTCGGATCTGGGCTATGGTTGAGCTTCCTTATCCGGGAGGAGGTGGTCGATGAGCCACCGGCGGCGGAGCTGGGCCAGAGCAGGAAGAGGTCGTGGAGTCGGGGCCGGAGGTCTACTCGGGGCGGCGGCGGGGGTCGTAGGTCGCGGAGGTGGTCCGGCCGACGCGACGCAGCTTCCTCGTCCTCTCTATGGCTCTACGTTCCGGCCCCTTCCAATGTGGTTTTCGCTCAATCCAATCCAATCCAATTAATCAATCAGGGATGAGTTGGCCCCAAGTGCCTTCTTCCTGTAGCTTCTCTCCTTGTAGTTGCCTCTCAGTGGTTTCTTTCTTTCTTTCAGATTCAGATTCAGATGGATGGATCCTGTCTGCTACAAAATTCATCAGCTGCAGCAGCAGCAGCAGGACAAGATTAATTATATATATTGGCGACTTTTTAAAGGATTAATTGGTAACGAGCATTTCTATCGATCCGGGACAGCATCTGCGTTTCGATTTTGAAAAATAAGAATCAAGGTACACCCGAAAATTTGTCAGTATTTACTCTCTTTGCATGGTTATTATTATTATCTACACCTGTTCTGAATATATCCTCTTGCAACTTCAGTCAGCCTTCAAGCAGTGATGCCTTTCCATGTCAATGTTCGTTGATGCACAGATTGGGCTCACTTTAGCTCACAACTAGCCAGCCCAACTTACAATGTTGAAAAGACGAAACGCCGTTAGCCAAGTCCGATGGGCAATGGGTACTCGAGTTAGGTGTCATCTCTCTTTCGGAACCAAGGATTGAATATATATGCCTCATGAATGAAGAATACTTACATACATATAGTTCTAGGAATGCCTCATGAGAACGAGCAAGGTCCTTCCATGGAGTGCTCTTTGCTAACGAGAACAGCATGGGCTTTGAACACAGAAGCACATAACTTGGTTTGCTATGCTTTATCTTCGTGTGTTGGCCGCCATCTTTGGCTGGCAGTGCCACCCAATGAGGTTTGTATTCCTCAAAACATTATTAGCTAAAAAAAAGAGAAGTGCTCTTTACTTTTTTCTTTTCTTTTCATTTTCTGATGTGTGTGCATATATGATCTACAATCTCTACTGCTGGCCCTAGTTGTTCCTTTGTCGTCCCCTTTCTAGAGGCATTGTTGTTGAAGCACCTTTCATGTTACCTGACCTGGGGTTGCCCTCACTGATGGTTGCTTTTGTTCCTGCTACAACTGTTATGCTTATCTTTTGTTATAACATTAAAGGACCAGCTTTCAATAATTTGATTTTTTGGAGAAATCAATTGAGCTAATTTATGTGTGCGCTAGTCCTGGTCAGGTTTTCTCAAAGGCGTCTCGAACAACAAGTTGCTCTTATACTACTAGGAAGTATGAAACAACGTACGAGTACTGCCTTTGTCATGTACTCTCCTATGTTACCACGCGCATCGATCGATCTTGGTTAAAGTGATCAATCCTACTTATATTGTTAAGAAATTCATCGATTGGGTGAATGCATGGGTTTATGAATACAGTACTACAAGTTGTGCCTCAAGGTTTTAATTATGCCCCTAATCACATTGATTCATGCACCAACCACGGCAGCATGGGAGGGCTGTCAGTTCAACACAAAAAAATGATGAACTCTCCACTTTTTATATGCCTGCCGGTGGTATGCCAAATGAATGCTCCAGGATTCACGTGTGTGACAGCACATACGAGGACAAGAGATAAGATGGAAGAGTTTGTAAATTATAAGATTCAAGATTCCAAGAGCCATATATGCTTTTCCTTTGATTAGGACCAGGATAACCTAATGTCTTCAGGACATCACAGTGGAGCATGGTCATTTCTTGCAAAGATTTCAAATTAATAGTAGCTGGATTTTCAAGATGCCATCCACTACCAATCACCTTGAATGTCCTAAACGTAAAAATGGTTAAATCGGTGCACACAACTTGGTTATTAATTTGAATCACTTTAGTCGGAAAGCTCACGCCCCAAAAAAATGTCGCACATCATCACGCGCGGAGCCATGTGAGGGAGGCAGAGGGGGCGGCAATCTTGCTAAAAAACCCTGAAAGTTTATATACATTGTGTTATCATTGCTCTCATAAAAGTTAAAACCCAAATCCCTGACTCGATAGAAGTCCCCAAATTTGCGGCGAACTTGGATCTTGGCGAGCGGCGGCCAAAATCCTGTGGGCGACGGTGACTTGGCCACACTGGCGGGGAATAGAGCGCAACCTGCACGCGGCTGCGCTCACATCTATCTGGCGTGCACATGGTGGTTAGCAACTTGGAGACCACCTAGTTTCACTCAAGTTTTTTGGATCTTTATTTATAAAGCTTTGGAGACTTGTGCAAGTTCGCAGATTTCACTCAACGTTACCCGAATTGTCTAGTACTCCCTCTGTACCGAAATACATATGGTCCGCGACATGTATTTCGGTACAGAGGGAGTACTTAGTAAAAAACAAATCCCGCAAAGGCACAAACCCCCATCGAAAGCTAGTTTCATTGCGTTCCTGCCTCCCCATGTTACCATCGCCACGCCGCCCAGCCCCAGCTCCTGCTACCACTACCAGTCGCCGCTCCCCGCTCAACGCCACACACTCACGCCGCGCCGCCCAACGCCCAACGCTCCTCGCCACATCTCTAGCAGGCCACCAAACCACCCCGCTAGCAGCTGCGCTGTCTGCTGCTTCCACCACTGCTCCGGCGTAGTGCAGATGGCGGCGGCTCTCGGCGCTGCGGCCACGCTCCTCGGCAAGGTGTTGACGACGCTGTCCGCCGTCCCGGTGGCGGCGTACGTGGACAGCCTTCAGCTCGGCCACAACTCGGAGCAGATCAAGGACAAGCTGCTGCAGACGCAAGGCCTGCTGCACAACGCCCAGGCCCAGGGGAGCCACCTCGGCGACAACCCTGGCCTCCAGGGGTTGCTGGAGAAGCTGAGCAGGGACGCCGACCAGGCCGAGGACCTGTTGGATGAGGTCCACTACTTCCAGATCCATGACAAGCTCCATGGCACCACCTACGCCACCACCCAAGAGGCCGGCCATCAAGCTCTCCACGCCGGTAGTGCTATTCGCCACTTGTTCCGGTGTTTTTCTTGCTCGCCTACACCCAAGAGCAAGAGCGATGGTAGTGATGATGATGCTCGGCAATATCCCAACCAGCAGCAACACGACAGTGACAGTCGTCCAAGACCGGCCTCAGACTGCTTCCATGATTATACAGGATACATTGTATGGCAGGAAAGGCATTTTTGAGGAAACTGTCAGTCGTATCACCGCTGCCACAAACATTGTTTCTGTTCTTCCTATAGTTGGTCCTGGGGGTATTGGAAAGACAACTTTCACCACTCACCTGTACAATGATGCAAGTACTCAAGACCACTTCCAAGTCAGGGTCTGGGTATGTGTGTCCACTGATTTCGACGTGCTTAAGCTCACCAGGGAGATCCTTGCCTGCATACCTGCAAGTGAAGAAGGAGGAAGCAGCAGTGTTGCAAACGAAACAACCAATTTAGACCAGCTTCAGAAATCCATAGCACAACGTATCAAGTCCAAGAGGTTTCTGATTGTATTGGATGATATATGGAAATGTGACGGCGAGGATCAGTGGAAAACCCTGCTAGCTCCGTTCACAAAGGGGGAAGCCAAAGGAAGCATGCTACTCGTCACAACTCGATTCCCAAAGGTAGCAGACATGGTGAAAACAGTTGATCCACTAGAGCTGCGGGGTTTGGAGTCTAATGACTTCTTCACATTCTTTGAATCATGTATATTTGGTGCAGACAACAAGCCCGAGCATTACGAAGATGAGTTTGCTGGCATTGCACGAAAAATTGCAAACAAGCTAAAAGGTTCCCCGTTGGCAGCCAAAACAGTTGGTAGGTTATTGCACAAGGACCTTTCTCAGAAACATTGGAATGGAGTTCTTGAAAAGCATCAGTGGCTAAAGCAGCAAAAGAATGATGATATCATGCCATCTTTAAAGATTAGCTATGATTGCCTCCCTTTTGATCTGAAGAAATGTTTTTCCTGTTGTGGCCTTTTCCCTGAAGATCATAGGTTTACTTCTTCAGAAATCAATCATTTCTGGGTTGCAATAGGTATCATAGACTCTGATCATCAAGACGATAGGAACTACTTGGAAGAACTAGTGGACAATGGTTTTCTCATGAAGGAACCAGTGGACAATGGTCATCGGTACTGCTATGTAATGCATGATTTAATGCATGAGCTATCTAAGATTGTTTCTGCACAAGAATGCCTCAATATAAGTGACTTAGATTTCAGAGCTGATGCCATCCCACAATCTGTTCGCCACTTATCTATCAACATAGAAGACAGATATGATGCAAATTTTGAGGAAGAAATGTGTAAACTGGGGGAGAGGATAGAGATTGCTAATCTACAGACTTTGATGATTTTTAGAGAATATGAAGAAAGAATCGCCAAGATTTTGAAAGATAGCTTCAAGGAAATAAACTGTCTGCGTGTTCTGTTTGTAGTGGTGAAGTCTGCACAACCTTTTCCATATAGGTTTTCAAAACTTATCCACCTCCAGTACCTCAAAATTAATTCATCTCTCGATGGTGACAGGGAAATGAGGTTACCTAGTACACTATCAAGATTTTATCACTTGAAATTCTTGGACCTAGATGGTTGGCATGGTAGCTCTAATTTGCCTGAAGACTTTAGCCACCTTGAGAATTTACATGATTTCCATGCTCGAAGACATCTCCACTCCAACATTCGCAATGTCGGAAAGATGAAGCATCTGCAGGAGCTAAAAGGATTCCATGTTAAAAAGGAGAGCATGGGATTTGAACTGTCAGAACTTGGGGCATTGCCAGATCTTGAAGGAGGACTGTTTATATGTGGTCTTGAACACGTGGCAACCAAGGAGGAAGCTACTGCAGCCAAAATGATGTTGAAAAGGAATCTGAAGGAGTTGGAATTATTCTGGGGCAGAGATGGACCAACTACAGATGCCGGTATTATTGATGCTCTTAAACCACACTCTAATCTTAGAGTACTGACAATTGTAAGGCATGGTGGTATCGTTGGTCCTTGTTGGCTGTGTCTTGACATGTGGTTAACAAGTTTAGAGACTCTCAGTCTACATGACGTATCTTGGAGCAACCTCCCACCTTTTGGGAAGCTACCAAATCTCAAGGGCCTCTATTTGAATAAAGTTTCTGGAATGCTTCAGTTTGGGCCTCTATGTGGTGGCGCTCGAGGGAAATGTTTTATGCGCTTGAAGGAAGTTGGGTTTTATGAGATGCCAGAACTTGCTGAATGGGTTGTGGAACCTAATTGCCATTCCTTTCCAAGTCTTGAAGAAATCACATGCATCGATTGTCCCAATCTCCGTGTGATGCCCTTGTCGGAGGTATCTTGCACCAATTTGCGGAGACTTTATGTTTCCGGGTGCCCCAAGATGTCTCTGGCCTCCATGCCTCACACCTCCACACTGACACATTTGGATGTTATAAGAGGTGGAAGTCCTAATCCAGATAAGTTGTTGTCTTATGATGGAAGGAAATTGGTTGTTAGAGAGTATGGCGGTGCTTTGGCCTACCACAATCTGGATAAAGTAGAAGATATGGATGTCGGAAGATGCGACCATTTGTTCCCTGAAGAGCTGGATGGCAGTATTATCTTCTGTTCAGTTAAGAGTCTCAAATTAGATGTATCTCATCTTACCAGCAAATCATCATCTTCAAAAGTGGTAAACTGTTTCCCAGCTCTTTCTGTGTTGAAGATAGATGGATATGGACACCATGACTATGAGGTGGAATGTGTAATGCAGCAGTTCCCATCATCCAGCTCACTGCAGAAACTTACCTTGTCAAGGTGTGAGGGCGTGGTTCTTGTGCCTGTGGAGAAGGAGAATGGAGGAGGAATTCAGGAGGACAAGTCATTGCTCCAATCATTAACAATATTCAGCTGTGGCAAATTGTTCTCTCAGTGGCCCATGGGAATGGGAGAATCAGAGACCATTTGCCCTTTCCCTGCTTCCCTGAGGAAACTTGATGTTCACGGAGAGCCAAGCATGAAGTCAATGGCTCTGCTCCCAAACCTCACGTCTCTCACCAGTCTAAGTCTGTCAAGCTGCAGTAATTTAACAGTGCACGGATTCAATCCTCTCATCGCAGTCAACCTCGTACAACTGCAAGTTCATAATTGCAACACCTTAGCAGCTGATATGCTCTCAGAGGTTGCCTCTCAGAGGGCCAAATTATTGCCTGCGGGTTACATCTCTAGATTGGAGAAACTCAGTGTGGATGACATCTCTGGATTGCTTGTTGCTCCTATTTGCAACCTCCTCGCCCCGGCCCTCCGCGAACTTTTATTCGAGGATAATGGGATGGAAGGCTTCACAGAAGAGCAAGATAAAGCGCTGCAGCTCCTCACCTCCCTCCAGAAACTAAGTTTTTCCCATTGCAAGGGTCTGCAGTCCCTTCCTCAAGGGTTACATCGCCTTTCTTCTCTCAAGGAGTTACATGTCATTCAGTGTGCAGCAATCCGATGGATGCCAAAGGAGGGCCTCCCGGTTTCGCTGAGAAAACTACATATGGATTGTCGCAGCGCTGAGATAGACGAGCAAATTGAGACAATCAAAAGAACCAACCCAGATTTATCCATCTCATATTACCCCTCAAGCACCAGCTGTGAGATAGACCTGAGCGCTTTATTCGCATGACGCAGTAGGACTGAGCAGGCCAATTTAACTGTTGGCGAAGAGGAGGTATTTAACTGCTGTTATTTCCTCTTACCATGAATTGAATGAATCAAGTGCCTTTATTTCCTCTTTCTTGAATCCTCTCCTTTGACAGGATGATGTTATTGCAAACGAGAGAATGCTTTCCAGTTTGTTTGATTCTTTCTTGAAAATATTTAGCCTGATATCACTGAATTACTCTTCTAACTAGGACAGAAGCAATGAGGATTATTATTTGGTCAACCACCAAGTTTAGTTTATGCTGGCTGGGGCAGAGTGCTGAATTTGAGGTTTCTTTGATTGTGAAAGAGCTCTGTCGATGCTTACTGTTGTGATTCAGAAAGCAAAGGAATGAAAGGCCATGCTTCTTGTGCCTGAGGAAGATCCGCTATACGCCTTCAGGTCTGAATCTGATCCTGTAAGTAAGATTATTAATTTCAACTGAATCATTTTTTGGGCAGTGTGTCACTCATTCATCTATGTATACTTATTAATGTGGCCACTGATTAATTTTCTTGCAGTTGGACCTGCCTGCCTGCCTGTGCATATATATATTCAGATAGATAGCGCATATATATATATTAAAGTGGGCACGACGGCAACGCAATCGCCGGCCCAATCCAATCACACATTAATCTCTGGAAGGGTAGTTAGTTAACGCTAGGACCTAGACAAGGAACGGGCCAATAGTGGGCTTTACAATGGGCTTTCTCTATTGTTTATATTTCCGTTTGAGTTGGAGGGGGCCAAGTACTTCTAATACCTCACGTTTTCGCTAATTATTGGTACTACGTCCCCCCCCTGTCTCCGCCCCTGATGCCTTTGACACGGGAACCTTTGACACTTGGTTACAGGTTTTATACCTTTGCTAACAACTATGCAAGAACACCTCCAGAGGAGTAGAGGACATGACTAGGGCTTTTACCTCCATCGCTGAGAGGCATGAACCTGTATACACCTGATGCCACCCTTCTGTGCGTCATTAGATCAAGCCTCATCTCCTTCCCTCTCTTGATGTCAGATTTCACCCCCGCGACAGCTGGCGCCCACGGGGCTGCGCATTTCACAAACCATGAACAATTATTAATGTGAGAGTTTTTTTTAATACATGAACATTTTCAAATTCATGAATATTTATTTTTAAAATCAGAAAACGTTCGTTAAATATTTGGCCATTTTGTAAAATTCTTCAACATATTTTCATGAATTTTGGAACACTTTTTCGAATACATGAACATTCCTAAAGTTTGAGAACAATTTTAGAGTTCATGAATATTTTAAAAGTGTATGGAAAAATCAAATTCATGATTTTTTATTTTATGCATTAACAAATTGTTTAACATAAAAATTGATAGGCAGTTTCGTTGGAGCCAAAAACTGGGAATTTTTTCAGCAAACACGAGTTTTTTTTCTTGAGCGCATGCACAAAAAAGCTACATGGGCCAGCCAACGTCAAATAGAAGATGAAACAATTCACTAGAGCAAATAATTGAGGAGCGCTCCTTCGGAAACCGTGGCGCGCTCTCAGCTGCCGCCACGTGTCACGCTTTGGACGCTCTCTTCAGATTTTTTTTATTTTTCCACACACATTTTCGGCTTTTTAGATGTTTTTTTGGGGGTTTTCGGCTTTCCACCACTCTTTTATACCATTACCAGAAAAAAAATTGCGCAAAAAGCAAAAAAAGAAAAGTTTTTTCCACGAGAGGCACATATTTGCTCCTCGTGTAGGCATAAATGTGCTTACGAGAAAGAAGGGTTGCGTGGGTACCTTGGGACTGTGTGATCATGCCCACATATAAAGGAGGACTTGGATTCAGAGATACAGAAATTTTCAACCTTGCTCTACTAGCTAGGCAGGTGTGAAGAATCCTAAATGAGCCGATGACTCTAAGTGCAAAAGTGTTGAAGGTTGTTTACTTTCTGGATAGTGATATTCTGTCGGATGAATTGGGAAAAAAAAATCCTTTGCAAGTTTGGAGAGCTCTATGTGAAGGTAGGACCACCTTAAAACTAGGTTTGATTCAACTCATTGGGGACGGGAGTTCAACGGAGATTTGGGAGGACAATTGGCTGCCACAAGATTATAGTTTAAGGCCTCCCTGCTCGCTAAAGGCTAACCCACCTGAATTAATGTGATTTGCCCTGTGACGCGTACATGGAAAACTTAGGTGCTAGCTGAAAATTTTCTTCCCATGGATGTGGACATTATTAAGCAGACTACGCACAGTTTTGGGGCACACACCGATATTTGGGCATGGAACTATGAGAAAAAGGGTACCTTCACAGTCAGGACGGCATACAAGATGATTGCAGAGACAAAACTTAGGCATGAATGATGTCTTGAAGGAAGAGCAGATGTGACAGAGAGCATACAACTAGAAAATAGCTGGAAAAGTTTGTGGAAGGTGAAAGTCCCTTTGAAGATCTGTTTCTTTGCATGGCAACTAGCAACATCTATCTTCCATCCCGAGGGGGCAGGAGAGAATGAGGAGGCACATGTCATCTTCGGCTTTGTGCAATATTTGCAATGCAGCGACAAATTCCTGGCGACATGCTCTGGTCGATTGTGACATGGCTAAGGCCGTTTGGGCTATGAAAGATGATGGCACGGTCCTTTCGTTGTATGAAGATGAAAGAACCAATGCCAAACTTTGGTAGTTCTCTCTCAGCACCACACTGTCAAGGGAACGGTTTATCGAAGTCTTCGTCACTTTATGGGCAATGTGGTGGGCTTGAAGGAAGGCAATAGTACACGAGAACCAATTCCATAGTCCTCTCACCACCCATTTATTCACCAAGAAATATTTGGAGGAACTCCGTAAAGAGAAGCTCAAGAGGAGGCCGGCTGAAAGGAACAACAGCTTGGATTTATCCTTAGGCTGGACTGATGAAAATCAATTGTGATGGAACTGTAGCCAAATAGAACGTGAAGGATGCTGTAGGGGCTATATGCCAAAATGAGCAACGGCTTTTCTCATGTGTATCAGAACTACTCCCCCGTTCCATAATATTTGTCTGTCTAGAGATTTCAACAAGTAACTACATACCAAGCAAAATGAGTCAATCTACATTCTAAAATATGTGTACATACATCCGTATGTTGTATTCCATTTGAAATGTCTAGAAAGACAAATATTTAGGAACATAGGGAGTAGTTGTAAAAGGAATTGATGATCCAGCTATACTGGAGGCACTCGCATGTAGAAAGTCTCTAATGTAGTGATTGGCAAGGTTCAAATGGCGACTGTCTTGGGGTAGTCACTGAAATAAATCAAGGTAGCAATGCAGGTCGACAACGTATGATATTCAAGGACATAGAGGGTAGCCGGAAGGATTTCTTGATGTCCATCTTCAGACACGAACAATGAGAAAAGATTCGGGAAGCGCATCGTATTGCAAAAATGGCCACATCCCTTGAGGCTGCCCGTCATGTCTGGTTTTCTTCCCCTCCTGAACACCTTTGTATCCCTGTAAACGCCTGTGATCAATAAAATATTCGTTGTTTCAAAATGCCCCAGCGATGCTCTGGGACGACTGCAAGAGATCCAAGATGTTCAAACATATGATCGGACGGTAAAGAGCACTAAATCTGGGACGACTTGCTGCTTGTGAGAGTTTTATCTACAACTTGCCTCTCTCTCAGTGGTTTCTTTCTTTCTTTCTTTCTTTCAGATTCAGATGGATTTTCTACAAAATACAAAATTCATCAGCCGCAGCAGGACAGCATCTGCTCTCTCTCTCTCTCTCTTTAAAAACGAAAATAAAAATACAATCGAGGTACATTCGAAATTTGTTACTATTTACTCTCTTTGTATGGTCATAAGCTCATCTGTTCTGAATATAATATCCTCTTGCAAGTTGCAACTTCAGTCAGCTTTCAAGCCTTTCAATTTTAGTGTTCATTTAATACACAAAAGACCAGGTTGGCTTTTGATTATTACGGTTTCAGGCTTTCAGCTCCAATATTTCGTCACTCACATTCTGCATGCTGTTAATTATGAAGTGTTTCCAGAGGGCCCTCTTGTGCTCCCAAGTTCTCTAAAATTTGAAAAAACTGCATCATGTTCTGTTCTGCATCGAAAAATTAAATAAAGTGGTTCGACAGACGACAACCGCTTCAAGCAATAAGCATAAAGTGGTTCAACACCACATTGGTTAGTTTATTACATATTCAGTTGCACTTTACGTACATCAGTGGAGATGGAATGTCTTGGGAGTTGGACTCAAGAAAAGAACCCACTCCAGTCATTATGCTTTTAATTTGAAAGCCCTGCCCAAGCAAAGCAAAAGGCATTCCTTGTCTCACGCAGCAATCAAATTCACAAACCAATATTCTCTACTTCGAACGAGGGACACACCACATTCTTTAATCTCTGGCTGGAAGCTCTCTCGTTGCACTCCTGCAATTTATTTACAAACAAAGCACCAATACTCCATTCTCTTCTCGTGGGTTCAGACTTCAGAGAGACCAGAGCAACAGCTTGGCTTCGCTGGAGATCCATGGCCACGAGCGGGATCGGGGGCGTAATTGCCGGTGCCGTGGGGAAGCAGATCGTCGGCAAGCTGGGCGGCATGCTGGGAGACTACGCCGCAGCGGAGGTCACTCTGCAGTGGAGGTACAGAGAGCAAGTGCTGGAGATGGAGGAGAAGATGAAAGATCTGGAGGCAGTGCTGGGCGATGCCGACGACAAGTCGCGTCGAGGAGGAGAAGGCGGAAGAGTCTTCCAGCGCTGGCTTACCAAGTTTAAGCGCGCCGCCTATGACGTCGAGGATGTGCTGGACGAGTTGGACGCCAATGAGCTCATCAACAAGAGCCAATCCAAGGTATTCATTCCCATATTGATTCTTCTTATCTTATCTAAAAAAGATATCGTGTTTGGAGCAAATGTCTTTGTGCATCTGACATAGCCCATCTCTGTATATCCCTTTTTTTGTAACTAGCGTCCAACCTTTTGTGCTCCTGCGGTGCATCAGAGTCTGAAACTTAATCTGAAAAAAGTTGTGCTCAGAGACTTCAATTTTTCCTTGTTGCAGGTCAGCTTATGGTTTTCCAGGAATAATCAACTCCTGCAGCGAATAACCATTCCCCACAAGATGAAGAACGTGATGATGAAGATAGACCAAATTGAAAAGGAGGGCAGAAGGCGACTTAATCTTGTGCCTCAAGAAGCAAGGGAACAAGGGAGCAGAAACAATCAAACTTTTGCAGCCAATTGGAATGGTAAGGGAATGAAAACTGGAATGGTGGGGAGGGGCATCGAGAAGGAGAAGATAATCAGCCTGCTACTCACAAGGGAAGAAGCTAACCAGCAAGATATCTCCATCATTCCAGTTGTTGCTTGGTGGCATAGGCAAGACAATATTGGCCGAATCAGTTCTTGCAGACAAGAGGGTCAGTGTCTTTGATGTCGCAATCTGGGTTAATGTGTCCAAGCAGTTTGATGTGCACAAAATTGGGGGTGCCATCCTGAAAAGAATGTTGAATAGCACCATCAACCTTGACAGCTGCGATTTGCAGTTTCATCTGAAAAAGGAACTTGCTACTAGAAGATACTTGATTGTTCTAGATGATCTCTGGGAAGAAGATGGAAACAATCTTGAAAGGTTGAAGGAGATGTTACAGCATGGCCGCAAGGGTAGCCGTATTATAGTAACTACCCGTAACCGAAGCGTAGTGCAACAATTGCGCACTGGGTTTCTTGCAAATCAGAGGAAAATTTGTCCAGTTCCAGAGTCTGACATGATCGATTTGGTTGTTTTAGAACCTGCAGAATGCTGGGAATTAATGAAGCAAAGGGCGTTTGGGCCTGATGATGACCACAGTGGCTTGGAAGAAATTGGAAAGCAGATTGCAGGCAAGTGTGGGGGTTTACCGCTCGTGGCAAATGCTCTCGGGCAAGTAATGTCGGAGCTAAGGACCGTGGGGGCATGGGAAGATATAAGAGACACCAAGGTTGATTTGGGTTTGAGAGAAGGACATCAGAAAGAAACATTAGAGAGGCTAATGCTGAGCTATCACCACATGAAGCTAGAATTTAAAATGTGTTTCATTTACTTGGCAACCTTCCCCAAGGGATTTGTCATGGATAACAATCATTTAATCCAGCAATGGAATGCGCTTGGATATATTAATTCAAGGCATGATGGTCAAAGGTGCATCAACTACCTTTTGGGGATGTCCTTTCTTCGGATTCCAGGATCCGCTCTGGTTAGTACCTATAGACACCATTTCAATTGTATGGGTGGTTCCCTTTTACTATTACGTTTATTCTACTTTATCTGTAGCCAAGAACATGCTTTCATAGATTATATTCTTATGGTTCTCGATTTGGCCCTACACTTTGATTTCTAACATATGTTAATGATTTAATATATCTATTGCTAAATTTAAATTTATTATCATGACTGATAAGTTTAATTTTGTAGTTTACTAGGTCTATTATTTTGACTATGTTGGGTTTATATATTCCTTTTCTTGAGATCCCTTCTTGTCCTTCGATTCCTGAATTTGATATCTCGATTATGTGCCACAGAATTAAAATATATTTATAATCAATTTATTAATCTATTTTTAATAGATTTGGAATTGTTATATGATGTATTTATATTTTTAGATCCTTCGTTATAGATCTCTCCAATAATATGCCATGTTCATTATTCAATCCTAGTTAGAGTCCACCAAATTATGTGCATGGTTCTATTCTTTTCGTGCTAGAATTTGTGGCATTCCTTTTGCAACCTGCCACCTTTTTTTGGAAAAGAAGATACATTCCTCCTACACGTATATTAATTTAATAATTTTAGAAAAATAGGCTTTGGGACTCTAGCTTAACTTAGTAGAGTAACAAACCACAATATGTCATTTGGTAGAGCTACAGGGTTAACATTATAACACAACTATTTTGCAGGAACAAACCTGGATTGACTTAAAAGTTCATGAACTGGTTATAGAAACAAAGAAACTTACAGTTAGAGCACATTCGCTGGTGTGAGCACTAATCCCAACACTCTGCCAATGGCCCTTCGCTAGTATATAATTTTTCCAGGTCACCCGCAGGCAGCCCACATCATTATTGTGGTTCCGTGGACCATGACGACAATGCTCTTGGGAATGGTGATGATCACATAAAATTTGATCAAGCTCATATTAATGGCATCTCATGTTGTTCCTACAAATCACAAGCAACGCAATAGGAAGAACAAACTACAAACATACATGATAGTCTAGTGAAAACCCCCCAACTGCAGGCAATGGAGGCACGCCTGTGGATTGTGGTCAACCTTGTCGAATGTTCTGGCGGTATTTACAGGCAGACATAGTCGTGCGCCCCCTTGTCTAGGTTAGCCACTGGAACATTATGGGTTTGGGGCCCATGGACCTGTATGGGCGACATATACAACACTCCTCAAAAGGGGTGATGAATATCTATCATCCCGATCTTGTCACTCTAGATTGCATTCTTTAGTTCCCAATCCTTTTGTCAAACAGTCTGCATTATGTTTCCCTGAATTCACGTGCGCTATCTTGATGATCCTAGCATCTAGCTTTTCTTTGATAAAGAGTCTATCTATTTCCAGATGCTTGGTTCCATCATGGTGTAGTAGATTGTTTGCTACGTTGATTGCTGATTTGTTATCACACCACACGTTCACACAACAAGTCTTCAATATCTTCAGTTCTTCTAGTAAATTTCTAGTCTAGAACATCTCATTTGGTCCTTGAACCATAACATCATGTTTCTTCTCCATGAGACCTTATATTCGGCCTCGGCAGTCGACCTGGACACAACAACATGTTTGTTCTCCATGATACTAAGTTCCTACCAACAAAGACACAAAATCCCGAGGTTGATTTACGATCATAGAGGCAACTTGCCCAATCTGCATCATAATACCCATCAATTATGAGATGCCTGTTTCTCTCAAATAACAGTCCCCTTCGTGGAGTCCCCTTCAAGTACCTTAGAATTTTATGCACTGCTTCAAGATGACCACTCCTTAGTTCATATGCATGTATTTTCTTACACACTAACTGCAAAGGCAATGTCAGGGCATGTATGATATTAGTACTACAACTTCCCAACTAATATTTGATACCTCTCCTTATCCACTGGCTCTCCTGGTTGAGCTGTCGCTTTGTGGTTTTGATAACTTGGGGTTGAGGCTGCCTGACATCCTAGCATTCCTACATCACACAGGAGTTGAAAAATATACGTTCTCCGAGATAGCACAATCCCCTTGGCATACCTGGCCACCTCTATGCCTACAAAGTATTTGAGTTGGACCAGATCTTTGACTTCAAAGGAGTTACCCAAACGTTCTTTCAGCCTTGCTATTATTTCCTTGTCGTCCTCTGTGATAATAGTATCATCCACATATACAACAAGTATAGTCATTTTCCCATTTTCAGATCTTTGGCTTCAAAGTCCATACCCAAACACTCTTTCAGCCTTGCTATTTCTTCCTTGTCATCCCCTATGATAATAATATCATCCATATATACAATAAGAATAGTGATTTCCCCCTTTTCATGTCTGTAGAACAATGTATGATCACCATTACAATGCCCATACATCATATTACATACAACATGTCTGAACTTATCGAACCATGCTCTATGAGATTGTTTCAGACCATAAATAACTTTTTCTAACCTGCATACTTTTCCAACGGTCTCAGAGTAGAGAACCTAGGTGTGATCTCTATGTAGACCTCCTCCTGTAGGTCCCCATCCAAGAACACTTTTTTCACATCATTGATGTAAAGACCACTCGAAATTTGCCGCACAGGAGATTAGAATCCTCACATTGTGCATCTTTGCTACTGGAACAAAGGTATCATCATAGTCAATGTCGTAGGTCTGGTTGTACCCCCTAGCCACAAGTCTTGCTTTGTACCTTTCAATCTTTCCTTCTGCATTCTGCTTCATAGTGAATACCCACTAGCAACTGACTGCCTTCTTTCCTATTAGAAGAGGTGTTAGTACCCATGTCTTGTTCTTACTTAATGCCTCAAGCCGCTCTATCTTAGCTGCTCGGCACTTTGGATTTGCTTTTGTTGCCTTCCAAACAGCTGAAAGAGACACCAACTAAAGAGAAGCAACAAATGCTTTGTAGACTAGAGATAATGCTTCATGGGAAACATAATTTTCAATATCGTTGACATCTAACCATACCATTCCTCCGTGGTATCCCTACTTTTGCTTGAGTACCTTTTCTCAAAGCAATTGGCAAATCAATTGACCCTTTTGTAGCCACTGACTATTCAGCCCGATCCCCATCAGAGGAGGAAATCACATCAGTATTACCATGTTGTTCTACTTGTGGCTGATCTAGTTGCTCCCCATTATGTCCAACACCATCACCTCGCCTCCGTGAATACACCTTTAGCCGTGGCTGATCTAGTTGCTCCCCTGATGTGCAACACCAACACCTCGCTTCCGTGAATACACCTTTAACTGTGCCTCTTGCTCTGTTGTCCACCTCGACACACTACCAGTTTGAGCAGTGCACCAACTTCCACATACTCAGTGCCATTGTCTGATTTAAGTGCTTGTATTTTCACATTGAAATGAGTCTGAACAAGTGCTTGTATGTTTAGCAAACTCAATCGCATCACACTTTAGCTTGCTCTTGTGCACACTACTCATCATGTCATGAAAAATTTGATACATTTTGTCGAAAGACACATGTCCCATAACACAATGATGAGTTATGGCTCTAGTTTATTTTTCCTCAGCAACTGTAGTTAGCATGTACATTCCCTCATTAGTGGAAAAAAGCCTAGCTATAGCGTAGCAAAAAAGTGTCTTGCTGACGTAGAGACCCAAAGCCACCAATATGGCGCCAGTGTTAAAAAATAGTGGTGGCGCTGGAGCCTACGCCAGCACTATTCTGTATACCTATGGTGTTGGGTTTAAACGCACGACGGCATTATAAATAATATCTATGGCGTGTGACATAGTTTAACGATAGTAATCAGTTACATCTTCTCTGCTCGTCCAACTCCAGCAAATGATTTTTTTGGTAATAAAAAAATAGATAATCATTACATAAAGAGGCTCATGAACTCAACAAGTTGATATTAAACTTCACAAAAGTTCACTCAAGTACTCTAGTTACTCCATCGCTAGCTAGCTACTTAAAAAACTAATCCTCAGCAAGGATTATGCCCAGCTGGATCCGCTTCTTTCTATCTGCCTCTCCTTCTCTTCTGAAATGATCTACATCCATCTTCAGGTCAATCCTCTCACGTCTCCTATCCTCCTTAAGTTTATCCTGGTCCTCGACGAGCTTATCCCTCTCGTCCCTAAGCTGATTAGTCTCCTGAACGAGCCGAACAACATCCTTGCGTAGCTCTTTGATCTCCCCCTTTAGATTGTCATTTGCCCCTTGCACGCTCTTGATGACATACTCAAAAGTGTTTACGAATTCATTGTTGGCCATGTCCACATCGCACACCGACTCGTTGTTGCCTCCAGAGTTGGCCATGACCTACAAACACATCGCGTATATATACGATCAAGATAATATGCAATGTAAAATAGTTCATGCGTTGGAAAAATATGATTTGTAAGGTTTCATTATCAAATACTTGGTGTGAGCTGTATCAAAACAAAATCATATTCTTTTATAGTGAATAGTGCATGTGTTGGAAAGACATGATTTTGTTAATTAAGTAGACATGATTTTGTTAATTAAGTAGAATATATAAAATTAAGATATAGCAAACTGACTTCTATACATACACATACTATCATATATAAGAATAACTTATGTATGCAAAGCTATTTGATATACAAATACCAGTCAACCTATATAGAAATGTGTAAAGAAAACTAAATTGACAACTTTGAAGAACATACATAACACATTCTATAAATTTCTACTAAACTAGCCCAGATCCGCCAATGGAGGGGAGACACAATAGCTATCGGATGATTATCACTACAATTTTCGGCCGTTTGGCGTGTCCGCGATCGGAGGAGAGTGGATCTAACCTTGGTGCCGGTGGGGGCGGCGGGGGCGGTGGCGAGGGTGGCGGCGGGGCGGCGACGATGGTGGCGGCGGCTTTGGTCAAGAGGGAGTTGTGTCTACTACCGGGCCGGGTGGGGTGTGAAATAAGAGCGAGCGGTGGACTTATGTATTTTAAGTTGACTCAGATAGGTTATTGCCGGCGTTGGATAAAATGGCAATGCCATAGCCAATCACAGACCGAATAAAAAAAGATTAAAATTAATAAAAGACTTGACAAAATAAAAGACTCAAAATTTGAACCGGTGGTAAAAACTAAAATTCCTAACATGATAAAAACTGTAAAAATAATGATGACAAAAAAGCATAATATAATTATATACTTAAAACACTTGATAAAATAGGAAAAGTGTCTCTGGCATGCAAAGAAAAAGAACGCCAGCACTAACAAAATAACTATGGCGTTCGAAGAAAATCTACGTCACCAGTGGTTTCCAAACGGTGAGTGTATATGGGCTAATATATTTGTGGCGTTTACAAGACAAGCAACGCCAACACTATGCTTGTAAGGCTGACATGCGGATTTGGCCTACGTCAGCACTATTTGAAAAAAATAATGCTGACGCGGATGTAAAATGCCGCGCCACCAACAAAAGTTATGGCTAGCACCTTTTCCACTAGTGCCTCCCTCGTCATGCTACGGTCCATTTACCACGAGACCCTAGGCCTCACTTGTATAGACAAAGTTGGCATAACTGGTAGCAGTGTCTTATCCTTTGGTTGGTAGCCTCCCTTAAGCTTAAGCAGGTACATTCACCGGAGCATTCCAAGAACCGCTACTCACATTCTGACCACCATACCTAGTCCAACCCCTCTGTTGCTACTGCCACCGCCATGCTCTTTGTCTCTGCCTCTTCTAAACTGAAGGAGTGAATGATTGGTATCAAGTTCATGGCACGTGATGGAGTTGTGACATGGAAACACAGAGCTCCTCCATCTCAACTCACAACTTAAAGGTTAGAGCATCTTTCTCATGTGTCTCCCCCTTAGATTTTTCCTTGTCAGTCTAGATTTCCTCTGTCTTCCTCTTGAGGCTCTCCAATTCCTTAACAATTTTAGTTTTCTCAGCGTTGAATGGCTTGCAAACGACCTCGTTTGCCTTCACCAACACACCCAATTCTATCCTAAGCCTCTCAACCTCTGCTATCGACATGCTATATTTCTTCTCTGAACCCTTCTCTGCACTCTCCTCACCACTCTTCTATGGCTCAACATCACCTCTTATCGTGTTATCATTCCCTACAGACTCATTGACTGCATTATCAGCATCAGAGATGAGATTGCCCACCTCTGTGCTATTTTTTGGAGCCTCCACAACCTAGTTGTTAGCATCACCGTGGCATGGCATCACACATCTCAGTCTCATTCTTCAAAGCATCCTCAACTGTGTTAGCAGAACCAGAGGCACAACCATCCATCTATAGGCAGTTCTCCTCAACAGCATTTTCCAGAGACTCACTTACTACTCCCTCCGTTCCGAATTACTTGTCTTGAATTTGTCTAGATACAGGTGTATCTAGACCCATTTTAGTGCTAGATACATCCGTATCTAGACAAATCTAAGACAAGTAATTCGGAACGGAGGGAGTACGTGTTAAGCACCAGCCGCAACTATGGCTTCTTCCATCTCCCGTCCCCCTGCACTTCCCCTTTTCCCAGCCTCCTGGCAAATCCAAGTCCTTGTGAAGCCTCTCGCACTGCCGAGCTACCTCAGATGCTTCCGGCCTCCTGCTGCTCTATGCGTGTGCCTTCCACGAAAGCACCCTCGTTGCCAAGATCGCCCATAACCCAGACGCCGGGGCACATCACGGATGACTTGTCGGTGCACCATGATGGCCTCATGTCGCCGACCTCCTTCTCCGTCAGGAAGTGCCTCTCCTTGAGCGTGAGGTTCTCCTCAAGCCCTTCTCCTCTTCCTCCGGAGCAGCCACCTCAAAGAATCCTGGTCGAAGCGTAGCTCCTCGTGTGCACCGCGCCGCTCATCGCTCTGCTCGATCACTGCCTCACGCATAGCCTCGCACACACCTCGCCCGCAGCTGCCTCTCCTTGCCAGGCACCACCGTCGACTATGCCACCGCGTCTTCCCCGCTCACTGATACCATGTAGACATTGGAGGGCTGGAGACACACCTGTGGACTATGGTCAACCTCTTCGAGTGTTCTGGCAGCGCTTAGAGGCAGACATCTTCATGCGCCCCTTGTCTAGGTCAGCCACTCGAACGGTATGGTCCTCGGCCCCATGGGCCTGTATGAGACACATATACAACACCAACCAAATCCAACTAGATCAAAGAAGAAAGAAGGGCACTACGGCGCAACTCTTGATGGCAATAGCGAGAAACCTGACCGGTTATTGCCATGTATTCCTTGTCCCTGCTCACAGGCAGGGCAAGTTTTTTGTTGTCCCTGATACCCTCCAGGGATTCCTGCTCTGCCCTGACCTTGAGTTGCTAATGCGGTAGCACTGTAGGATGGTGGTCGCTTGGTTGCTGGACGGTGGTCGGTGGACCACAAAGATCAGTTTGGGACAGCACCACAACGTAGGGATTGGTAGCTCAGGACATCTTTTGCGACCAATGACTACTAGGATCAGTCAGAGGGGAGGTCGGGGGCGCGTCGGCGTAGTGCTGTGCGCGGGCGAGGATGGGGAACAGTCAAAGTGCGGATTGACGTGGTGGAGGCGTGGGGCTGACGGACCACCATCATCAGTGGCGGTTTAGCGGGAGCAGGCTAGCAAATGGCGGTTGGTGAAGTGGCCATTGGCAGCGGCGGCATGGACTTTGTGGGAATAGGGGAGGCTTAGTTCCTTAGGATCTCAAAGGAGGTCCCTCATGTTAGGCCTCTCCTGTCGATCGGTGCTATCAAGAGAGACAGTTGAGAGGAATAAATGACGAGAGATTGTTCATATCCTTTGCGTGGTTCACGTAAGATCACCGTCCACCTTCTTCCTCCACTGGGAGCAGTGTGAATGTAGGGCCACCCCTGCTGTGGAGGAAGCGGCGGTGGCGGTGGCGGTGGCGGCGACAGAAAGTGCATGCATGGGTGGACTTTTGCTAGCTAGAGTTAGGCACCCCAGTGCCACTTAGGGAGCGGCACAGAGTGGTTCCTTTAATAATCATTCATATTCATAATTTATAGTTAGTAAGCAAGTTACATATAGTTTCAAATTATTTGAAACTTATTGAACTTATTTTGAGGAAGTTTGGATTTTGCTGGATATTAGTGTTTTCTCTTAACTGCATTTAACATTTCCTATTTTCAAGGCATTTTACATTTCTGTTTACAATCCTATATTGATAGTAGTTACTTCCGCAGGTTGGTTCAAGTCCATTGCATTTCAAGGCTCCTCCGGAACTCGTCATGCATGATTTGGTGCATGATCTTGCATCAACAATTTTTGCTGATGAATTCATCGATTTGGATGCTACCAGAAGCACCAGCTGGAACAAAGCTCGTTACTACCGGCATGCACAATTAACCAACTTCAAGAATGATCCTAAGGTTTTCAAATATATTCCAGGCAAACTTAGATCCCTCCACTTGAGGGATTTGGGGGGAATGAAACTCCCGAAAAAGGCATTTTCTCGGTGCAAGTACATACGTGTCTTGGACCTAAGTGGACATTCAATGAATGGCCAATTAGCTCCAAGTATCATGGTGCTGCCATCTTCCATTAATAAATTGAAGCTAATTAGATATCTTGATGCCACAGGCTTGCCAATAACATCACTTCCTAAGAATTTTCATGCACTTCAAAACATGGAAACTCTTATTCTATCCAATTCCTTGCTCGAAACCTTGCCTGACAGTATTTGTCGCCTCACCAAACTATGTTATTTGGACCTATCCGGCGGTTGCAACCTAAGTAAGCTACCTGGTTCACTAGGGAAGCTCTCTCAGCTCTTTTTCCTTAATCTATGTGGGTGTTCTACACTCCAAGAGTTGCCTGAATCAATCTGTGAGCTTACATGCTTACACCACCTAGACATGTCAGATTGTTCTGCTCTTCAAAAGCTGCCTGAAAATTTTGGTAGCCTTCTTAAACTCTCATTCTTAAACTTATCAAGTTGTTCAAAGCTCACCAAACTACCTGACAGTGTTAGCTTTCCGCATTTAGAACGCCTTAGCCTATCAAATTGCCATGAACTAGGAAACCTGCCAATTGATTTCGGCCACCTTCAGAAACTTGAGTTCTTGAACCTCTTTGGTTGCTACAAGGTGTCAATGCTGCCAGGGTCATTTTGCCAACTTAATCATTTGAAATACCTAGATCTTTCAGATTGTCATAACCTCGAAGAACTCCCTAAATGTTTTGGTAACCTCTTCGAGCTTGAATATTTGAACCTAACAAGCTGCTCTAAGCTCCGACAATTGCCAGAGTTATTATGCAAATTGTTTAAGTTGAGATTTCTCTATTTGTCATACTGTCTGCAACTCAGAGGGCTCCCCTCCTCATTTGGTGACCTTAAGCTTCAAATACTGCACATGAGTGGTCTTATATTTATGGATGATTGCCCTGATAGCATTGGTGACATGACTAGTCTCACCCAGTTGGTATCTGATATTGCAACTTCCCATTTGCTTGAAAAGACTCAAGCAATTCGAAAGCATCTAAATCTTATGGGCACAGTAGTGCATCATGTACATGAGATAGAGAGTAGAGGATGTAGCAGTATAGTGGATCTTATGGGGTTGACTTGTTCAGAGCTGATACTTATAGGCCTTCAGAATGTCAGACATCCAGAAGATGCAGACAGAGTCAGCCTACGGGATAAATCAGATATTCGAGTGCTAAAACTTGACTGGCAAAATGAAGGAGGTAGATCTGTGCTGGACAGGCTCGTACCTCCTCGGACTCTTGAAAACTTTTGGCTAGTTGGGTATAGTAGCAAGGATTTCCCTAACTGGATATTTCACACCTCGTCTTACCTCCCTTTTGTCAGCGAACTGACTCTCAGTTGTTTGGAAGCATGTGATTGTCTTCCTCCATTTGGGGCACTACCAAATTTAAGAAAGCTGTCTCTGGAATACATTCCTAACATTAGGAAAATCGGTAAGGAATTCTATGGAGAGGGTGGACCTTGTATGAAGCTAAGAGTTCTGGTATTGACATTGATGGAGAATTTGATGGAATGGTGGACAACAGAGTCAGGTGAAGAAACTGAAGAGTTTCTAATCCCTATTTTGCATCATTTGCAGATAGTGGATTGCCCAAAGTTGAAGTTCCTACCATATCCCCCAAGAAGTATGATTTGGGTTATGGGCAACAGCGAGACAATTTTGCCAGAGCAAGGATTTGGAAAGCACTTGTCTTCCATTAATCCTTCTGCGATGGTTCTAAACAGATGTAGGTTCTCTCAAGACAAGTGGGATAGACTTCAACATTTTCCCACCCTTGAGATATTTCAAGTATCCTTCGTCAGTGGCTTGAGGGCGTTGCCAGAGGTCATGCAATGCTTCACCTCTCTCACTGGACTATATTTGTGGTCGTTGAAGGACCTGGAGACACTACCAGTATGGTTGGGCCACCTCGGTTCTCTACAAGTATTTGAGATCCAAGATTGCCCCAACCTGACATGTTTGCCTGAAAGCATGAAGAAACTCACCGCTCTTACAGATCTGACGTTGATAGAGTGTAAAGGCCTGGAGACATTACCGGAATGGTTGGGACAGTTGACTTCTCTAGAAGAACTTACCATCAGAGATTGCCCCAACATGACATGTTTGCCTGAAAGCATACGGTGTCTCTCTGCCTTGAAGCTACTTGAAATTGCTCGATGTCCAAGTCTGATTGCGAGGTGCCAAGGGGAGGATGCCCACAAGATCTGTCACATCCCCAAAGTCGAATTCTGGCCTTGAAGGGGTTACTGTGAAGCGCTGTCGTACAAAATTGTTAGTCTCCTATGCAGAGTTCGTTTTCTGAGGCCACCTCTCCATCTTTACATGCTCCCGGTGGCTACATACTCCATACTCCATGCTAGAGTTGATGCCAGCTACTGCTAGAGTTGAGCCTTCCTTTTCAAATTTCTTTCACACCAAGCTCGCTGGGATTATCAAGGATCACATTTTGTTCTACATTCATGTATGTAATTTATTTGAAATATTTTTTGGCAGTGCTACATTCATGTATATAATTTATCTGTTGTGTTACTACTTCCTTTCTATACGAGGCAGTGCTAATGTGGTCATTGTATTCCAGACAGCGCACATCTTGGGCCTGCCTATGCAAACTACACGAGGGTGTGCTGTCACTTGCTTCATGATGATTCAGTAATACCAAGCCTAGCGCCCAAGAATGGAAGACGACACAACTCACATTGGCCGTCCCTTGCTGCATATATAATTTTGCTACTGTAAGTTGGCTCTGTACGTATACTTCAGTGACTGCAAGGCGTGTTTTTGATTTGTTCAAACTGTTTGATGATAAATATGTCGGTTTATATGTCTGTCCTCAAGTATGAATAATCACAGATTAGCTCATGTGCTGCTAAATACGAACCACTCCATCGATCCTAGCTAGGTAGAGCTTGGTAGCCGGTCTATTATGCTAATATTAGCATAATAATATTCTGCGAACACTTTTAAACGTCCTGCCGAATCTAAACGGACTTCATTTGGTAGCAAAAAAACTACACTGCTAGCAGAGAAAACTGCACGTGATTTTAAGTACTCCCTCCGTCCAAAATAAGTGTCTCGACTCTAGTGCAACTTTTTACTAAAGTTAGTACAAAGAGGTGACATTTATTTGGGACGAAGGGAGTACTATTTTTGACCCTTCTTTTTAACCGTTTGTTGGAATGAGGCATATGATATGCCGTTGGAAACCAATGAATTAGGCGTAACTCTGCCATGCTGAACACTTTTTGAAATTCCTCATGGTTTAAGAGCAGTTTCGAAAATAGTGCAGTACCCAACAAGTCGGCGAGCGTTTTTTCGCTTTTTGTGCAAACCACTCATTGGAATATGGCAAATGATAAGCAGTTGAAAATATATCATCAAGGTGCAACTTTTTCATATAGAACACTTTCTCTGATTCCTTACAGTTTAAAAGTAATTTCAAATTTACCCAAACACAAAAAATTTAGTTTTCAAGTTTTGCGATTTTTTTGTACGGTTTTCGCTACAGTTTTTAACCATTTGTCGAAACGAGGAGTGTGATATGACATTGGAAAGCTATGGAATATGTTCAGCTTTCATATGTAGAACAATCTTGCATGGAGATTGCATGCATACAGGTTTAGGTTTCATTGGCACTCATGGGTAATGAATGATTGGGTGTTTAAGTTACCTTAGAGAGAGTGCTTTGTTCATACTCTGTCTGACCCAAGTTCATTTATTCTACTTATTGGATTCTGCAGTCCCAGTAGTGAATTTCACAGCTGATTCAGAGCGAACAAATAGAACAAAAGAGTACTGAAGCAATTGTCTCTCTTGATATGCTGAAAGGTCAGTGCTGGATACTTTGTTCTCATTTTTGGGTTTTCCCTACTAATATAATTCTCAAAAGTACCGTACACTGAAAGATTGTAATATCTGAATTACTCGAATATGCTGTCGCCACATTCCTCAAGCACCACCTGATATAATTGTGTTGCGTGTTTGCAGAATAGAGTATCGACCTAAGTGATGGCTCACAGTGGGCTTTGTGGATGCAGCAACAGCCAACAGAGCAGAGCATTCCAAGAAGGGACATCCATTCCAAAGGGTGCCAAGGTGTGAGGTGGTCTCGGCACGATGAACTTTCGCAACGGTGCATACTCAAGGAGAACACTTGTACCTTCAAATTTTGTAAGGGATCATCTTATAATGCTACCGTCGTACTAAGCTAAATAAGAAGCATAATAAGATAAACATCACATGCAATCAAAATATGTGACATGATATGGCCATCATCATCTTGTTCTTTTGATCTCCATCTCCAAAGCATCATCATGATCTCCATCGTCACCGGCTTGACACCATGATCTTCATCGTAGCGTCGTGGTCGTCTCGCCAACTATTGCTACTAGTACTATCGCTAACCAATAGTGATAAAGTAAAGCAATTACATGGCTTTCGTAATTCATACAATAAAGAGACAACCATAAGGCTCCTGCCGGTTGCCGATAATTGACAAAACATGATCATCTCATACAATAACATATAACTCATCACGTCTTGACCATATCACATCACAACATGCCCTGCAAAAAACAAGTTAGACGTCCTCTACTTTATTATTACAAGTTTTACGTGGCTGCTACGGGCTTAGCAAGAACCGTTCTTACCTACGCATCAAAACCACACCGATTTTTCATTAAGTGTGCTGTTTTAACCTTCACAAGGACCGGGCGTAGTCACACTCGATTCAACTAAAGTGAGAGAGACAGACACCCGCCGGTCACCTTTAAGCAACGTGTGCTCGTAACGGTGAAACCAGTCTCGCGTAAGTGTACGCATAATGTCGGCCCCGTCCGCTTCATCTCACAATACCGCCGAATCAAAGTATGACATGCTGATAAATAGTATGACTATTATCGCCCACAACTCATTGTGTTCTACTCATGCATATCATCTACGCATAGACCTGGCTCATGATGCCACTGTTGGGAAACGTAGTATTTCAAAAAAATTCCTACGATCACGCAAGATCTATCTAGGAGAAGCATAACAACGAGCGGGGAGAGTGTGTCCACATACCCTCGTTGACCGAAAGCGAAAGCGTTTAGTAACACGGTTGATGTAGTCGAATGTCTTCGCGATCCAACCGATCAAGCAACGAACGCACGGCACCTCCGCGATTGCACACGTTCAGCTCGGTGACGTCCCTCGAACTCTTGATCCAGTTGAGGCCGAGGGAGAGTTTCGTCAGCACGACGGTGTGGTGACGGTGTTGATGAAGTTACCGACGCAGGGCTTCGCCTAAGCACTGTGACAATATGTCCGAGGTGTGTAACAGTGGAGGGGGGCACCGCACACGGCTAAAACAATTGTCAACTTATGTGTCTATGGGGTGCCCCCCTGGCCATGTATATAAAGGAGCAAGGGGAGGGGGCCGGCCGACCTCATAGGGTGCGCCCCAAGGGGGGAATCCTACTCCTACTAGGAGTAGGTTCCCCCTTTCCTAGTCCAACTAGGAGGGGAAGGAAAGAGGAGGAGGGGAGAAGGAAAGAGAGGACCGGCCCCCAAGCCCTAAACCAATTTGGTTTAGGCCTAGGGGGGCGCGCCCCACACCTCCCCTGCTGCCCTCTATTTCCACTAAGGCCCATGAAGGCCCATTGACCCCCCGGGGGGTTCCGGTAACTCCCCGGTACTCTGGTATTTATCCGGTGACCCCCGGAACCCTTCCGGTGTCCGAATATAACCTTCCAATATATCAATATTTATGTCTCGACCATTTCGGGACTCCTCGTCATGTCCGTGATCTCATCCGGGACTCCGAATAACCTTCGGTACAACAAAACACATAAACTCATAATACCGATCGTCATCAAACGTTGAGCATGTGGACCCTACAGGTTCGAGAACTTTGTAGACATGACCGAGACGCATCTCCGGTCAATAACCAATATCGGAACCTGGATGCTCATATTGGTTCCTACATATTCTACGAAGATCTTTATCGGTCAAACCGCATAACAACATACGTTGTTCGCTTTGTCATCGGTATGTTTCTTGCCCGAGATTCGATCGTCGGTATCATCATACCTAGTTCAATCTCGTTACTGGCAAGTCTCTTTACTCGTTCCATAATACATCATCTCGTGACTAACTCATTAGTCATTTGTTTGCAAGGCTTATTACGACGTGTATTACCGAGAGGGCCCAGAGATACCTCTCCGACACTCGGAGTGACAAATCCTATTCCCGATCTATGCCAACACCACAAACACCTTCGGAGACACCTGTAGAGCATATTTATAATTACCCAGTTACGTTGTGACGTTTGATAGCACACAAGGTATTCCTTCGATATTCGGGAGTTGCATAATCTCATAGTCAGAGGAACATGTATAAGTCATGAAAAAAACAATAGCAGTAAAACTAAACGATCATAGTGCTAAGCTAACGGATGGGTCTTGTCCATCACATCATTCTCATAATGATGTGATCCAGTTGACCAAATGACAACACATGTCTATGGTTAAGAAACATAACCATTTTTGATTAATGAGCTAGTCTAGTAGAGGCATACTAGGGACACTCTGTCTTGTCTATGTATTCACACATGCATCAAGTTTCCGGTTAATACAATTCTAGCATGAATAAAAGACATTTATCATGATATATAAGGAAATATAAATAACAACTTTATTATTGCCTCTAGGGCATATTTCCTCCAGTAAGATTATTAATTCAAACTTAACCGTATTTCTGGCAATGCTTCTTCTTACGTATGTAATTTCATTATTGTCTTGTAGATAGCATGCATCTTCGGCCTGACTATGCAAACTAGTACCGTGTGTGCTGTGCTGTCTCAGCATCACGATCGTGGTGAGTTGTTTCCTGGTGCTTCAGGGCGGGTGCTCGCAAGGACACGATCAACAATACCACGTTGAGTTGGGCGCCCAAGGAATGGAACACAAGACAGCTCAGCCTCCAATGGCTAGCCTCAGTTGTGTTGTGAAACTTTGCCAAGCAAAGCAAGAAGAGGGAAAACTGCTAATGCAGCAACGCACAGAAAAAAGAGAGGAGTATATCTCATCACAGCTCAGGCATGTAAACACCATCTATATTAACATCATATTCGTTGCGGAGCTCGGGCTCTCTGCATTAATCTGGTTTTGTAAAGTAATTTGTAAGGTTGTTGATGTTTCAGGAGATGTTTATTTCCATTGAGGATTATAGCTATGTTTGCTGTTTGTTTGTTCCCATTTACAATCATGTACGCTGCTATATACTGTGCTCTGTTTTCTTCATGTGTGTACTTGAGCAAACAAATTGATGAGAGAAATTATATCTTTAGTTTTCATCTTTCATGTCTTCTGTGAAAATTCAGTCCATCTAAGATGGTTTTCTACCCCTATATACGGTGCATTACAGTTAATTGGACTGCAAAAATTCACCAAAATGTAAGACGTTTTTGCAGTTCGAATTGGACTACAAAAACGTCTTATATATTTTAGTACATAGGTAGTACAAAAATGTCTTATTATTTAGGGTTTAGGGTTTTGGTCCGAGATAAATCTCTCTGTGTGTGTGCTCTTATATGATTATTACTTTTTTTTTACCTTTTTTTGAGGGAATGATCCATTCCTTTTTCCGCTTCAAATCTGACATGGCAATGCTTTCATGTTTCAAGCAGTGTATATTCATCTTCAAATATGAAGGATACCATCACATCTGAAAATAATCTCTAGCTCGCTTTGGTGCCAGTTTCTCGATCGACTGGAGCAGCCGCTGCTCCCGCCTGTGGATCTCTACTCCGCGCCACCAAGTCGCCGGTCTGCTCCAGCGACGCGGCGGCGGCGGCAATGGGAGGAACTGGCGGCCGCGCTTGAGGTTGAGGCTGAGGCTACATGAGTATACCATGTGCTCTATTAGAGAAAATCGGTGGGAATGTAGAAATTCTCTCCTTATACTTGCAACGTACCTTGGGTACCAAAGTATTATTTCTTGCTTGTACTAATCGTCTCACCAAAACAAGTCAAAATATGTACGCACGAGAGCACTAATCGCCTCAGCGAAACAACTTCAGATACATCCTATAAATTGATGCTTCCCAGTCCGCATAGGCACCAACATCGACTTGCTTGTCTACACAGCCGCAGCAACCAAACATCAAGAACAATAGCCAGTTAGCCACCACCAACACCAAACCCATGGCGTCCTCTCGCATCCTTCTCCTAGCCGCGATCCTCCTGGCCCTGGCTTCTATCCAAGCGCGCGGCCAGAGCATGCCGCCTTCACCGGCAATGGCACCAGCACCGGCCACTCGCGGTGGCAATTGCACTTTGAATGGCGCAATCGCGCTTGGTGTGTGTCTTAAACTTCAACCGGGCAGGACAAGCCCGGCCGACAAGAACCGGTGCTGCCATCGGATCCAGGGGATGCAGAGCCCCGCCGACTGTCTGTGCTTGGGCTTCCAGCTGGGTGGTGGCCTTGTCGGTGGCATTCCCGATGGCGTCAATTCCGTGCTCGGCATCTGTGGCATGGCCCGCATCCCCAACCTAGTTTGCCTGGTGGCCTCTGGAACGGTCTGATCAGCCTCGGCCTCGCTGGTGGGCTCAATGAGTGCTGGCTGGAGGCAGGCTCACACTCTGACAGGTGTATCAGCGCACCTACGTCACCAATAAAATATAAGTGCTGCCTAAATAATCTGCCATACTAGCCATATGTATGGGTTTCGACCCGACTTACTATGTATGCATACTGGTTTTCCAAATAAATAAGAATTTGCGATCTACTTACCATACTTGTCGTGTGGGCCCATCTGACGACCAGTAAGTATTTATAGCATCTACAACCGCAAACATCAAAATCCACCCCCAGACGCATGCGGTCGCGCCCGGGCGCACACACAAACAGTGATCGACAACACACACAAAATTGATTCAACAACCACAAACAACATTTTCAAATCATCAATTCCTTAGATGCAACATAAAACTAATTGGGCACAACGCGTTTGGCTCCGTCCTGTCCATAACCCGTGGATGGCGGTGCCCCTCGAAGAGTTGATGCGCTGGCGAGGTAGAGCAGGACATGGAACACACACTGGCTCACGGGACTCGATTCCCCGCCACATCTCCCTTGTCCTACTCTTCATCCTAGGAGCTTGTCGTTGGTGCACGTGATGTCAATGTTGGATTTGTCGCGGTCAGAGCCGATGACATAAACCATTACGCGGTTGTGCCACCCGGGGTTGGTGGGCACCATACACAACACTGGAGAGTGCGACTCCGCGTTGCCAACGTCCACCGCAATGGCTGCTGCGGCCTCCTGTGCCCGGTGCCTCGCCCTGCGGGCATGTCGTGCCATATTTGCATAGGACAACTCGCATGCGTTCACTTCTGCCTCAGATGAAGATTACACGGAGTCTCTCACAAGAGAGCAAACATGAGGCCACTGTTGAGGCAAAGTTGCAAGTGTGACGTGTCTTGACTTCCCTACCTTTTTACTATTTCTTGCAGATCTGCTAATTATTTTGACCGTGCACTCAGGAAGCAAGATTTGTCCAGTAGTGTAGCGTTCCAAGTTTGCTTCTTACAAAAGCAAAATGGATACATGAGTATACCATGGGCTCTATTAGAGAAAATCGGTGAGATGTAGAAATCTACGCTTATACTTGCGACGTACCTTGTGTACCAAACTATTATTCCCTGCTAGTACCGCTGCACTAATTACAACCTTTCTCTAGAAGACAAGACAGATCTTAGATGGGGCCCACTTTCTATGAGCTTTCTGATGGGGCCTTTAGTCTTTTGATTAGAGTGGAGGTCGCGAGAGAGCAGAGCATACCGCCCTGCCATAGTCGCGAGGATCTTAATAGTCGGTCGCGACTATTGTCATAGTCAACGATGGTTAAATACTAAAACATGAAGGCGCGCGTTGCGGCATCCATGTATTTTTTTTTAAAATACACTATGGAAGAATGGGCTATCATTATCACCCTTATAGTCTTAAGAGTGATGAGATAAAGAGAAAAACACAGTAAAGAAAAAAGAGCGGCATGAAGGTATATATCATATTTACTCGTGCAGAGCATCCAAGCCCTTCATTTGTTTGGGATGCCATATTCTTAGATCTGATAAAAATCCACATAAACCAGTTAGCAATAAATTAGTACAATCAATCAATATAGCATATAGGGTGGGCAGCAAACAAAGATAGTCCCGTTATTTGGATGCGACCCAGAAGCGTGAGATGCCATGTGGTTCAATGAATACAGCACATCACAAACAAAATTACCATCTATGCACTGAGGCGATAGCAATGATAAGCAGCCAATACCTGTTTAAGATCAGCAAGGGAAAACATGGTAGAGGACCAGAAGATTGGGATGGCTAGGACCGGAGTCCTCGAAGGCGCACCATCATCGGGCTGCTGAAAGTTGGGCAGCGCGAGCACCGAAGCTGACACCAGCTGATCTTTGAGCACTTGAAAGGCTGTGTCAGTGGTGGAAGTCCAGAGGAAGGGAGTGCCTTTCTTAAGCAGATTGAATAAAGGCCTTGAAATCACCCCAAAATTCCGAACAAAGCGGCGATAGTAGCCTGCAAGCCCCAGAAACCGCGTACCTCCTTGACATCTGTCGGTGTGGATCAATTGGCGACTGCAGTGATCTTGGACGGGTCTGTGGAGACACCCTGGGCGCTGATTGTGTGCCCCAGGTAAGAGACTTGTTGTTGCCCGAAAGCGCATTTGCTGATTTTGACGTACCAGCTGTCTCGCCGGAGCAGTGTGAGGACTTGGCGCAAGTGGGCAACGTGTGCTTGCAGAGTAGCACTGAACATCAGAATATCGTCAAAGAAGGAAATCACGCAGACACGGTTGACTGGTTGGAGTGTAGTTGTGACTGCCCCGATGAAGGTGGCTGGCGCTCCCGCCAACCCGAATGACACCACTTTGAATTCAAAGTGCCCTTGGTGTGTTTGAAACGCTGTCTTGTATTCTTCCCTTGGAGCCAGTCGTATTTGATGATATCTGGCCCGAAGGTCGAGCTTGGAAAACCAGGCTGCGCCGTGGAGCTCGTCCAAGAGTTCTTCTATGATGGGCACGGGGTGCTTGGCGACGACTGTAAGTGCGTTGAGGTGCCTGTAGTCGATGCATAACCTCCAGGTTCCATCTTTTTTCTTGACCAAAATCACCGGCGAAGAAAAAGGGCTGGTGCTTCTTTGAATGATGCCTGATCTGAGCAATTCTTCTACTTGTTTCTCGATCTCAGATTTGAGTTCAGGCTTGTGTCTGTATGGACGCACATTCACTGGTTGTGCGCCTGGAATCACTGGAATTCTGTGGTCACAGGCACGCCTGGGAGGAAGGCCAGTGGGTTCCGCGAAAATGTCAGGAAATTCCTCAATTACTTTCTGGATGCAGTCAGGGATCGGAGTGGTGGTTTCAGCATCAGGAGCAACCACGCACAAGTGTATGATGTGAGAAACTGAACCTTGACTACAGAGCCCTTGCAGCTGCACGAAATTGATGGATTCACAGCGAGTGGATGAAGCATCTTGGCCCGTGAGACGGAGGGGTCCTGCTGGTGTGGGTATCTCAATGAACCGAGCACGCCATTCGACAACCATAGGACTGTGCTCTTCTAGCCAGTCCATCCCCAAAATTGCATCATAATTCCCGAGCGTGAGCACTTTCAGATCTGTGAAAAATTCGTGTCCTTGCGAGTACCAGGCACAACTTGGCACAGCTGCAGTGCAGATTAACTCTCCTCCGTCAGCCACACGAACACGCCCTGACTTTGGCAGACTCTGAACACCGGAGAGGGACTTCGCCAGTTGAGCATCGACGAAGGAATTGGAGCTGCCGGAATCCACAAGCATCAGCACTTCACGTCCTTGAATCCAGGCGCGTAGTTGGAATGCCTTGGCCGAAACGCCTCCAGTCACTGCAGACAGAGAGAGTGCCATATAACAGTATCACTTGTCTCCCCAGGTTCTGGAAGTTGAGTGTTGGAGAAGTTGTCGATGCCGAACATGTCCAGCAACTCCTCGACGACGTGTAATTGCACCGGGGTGGGGCACACATGATCGTGCCCCGACTTCTCGCCGCACTTGAAGTAGAGTCCATGGGCGCGCCGATATTCTCGCAGCGTCTTGAGTTTGGATGCTTCAGCTCGAGCTGCGTCAGTGCCACGGCGATCGGTGGCGACCGTGGCTGGCGGGTGACGCATCGGAGGTGCAGGTAACGGTAGCGGCACCCCTGTGCGCTGCGGCAACTCCGGGGGCCGTACTAGAGTCGCACGCGCGCCGTCGGCCACTTCCTCCTGAAGCAGGGCGAGTGCACACGCCGTGTCCAAATCGGGAGGCCGTTGTACCATCACCACCGCTCGTATATCAATCCTCAGTCCCTCGACAAAACGGGTCAAGAAATAGTAAGGATGTATAGTATCTGAATAGGAACTTAAATGATTGATAATAAGTTCGAATTTCTCTATGTAGTCTGCAACAGAAGTGGTCTGGTGGATAGTGTAAAACTGCCGGATAAGCATTTGGTGCCGATCACGGCCGAAACGTGTGGCCAGCAGGGCGGTGAACGAGTCCCAATCGAACTCGTGCAGTCGTTTCTGAACGGACTGAAGCCACATGGCCGCTGGCGCCGAGAAATTGAGAGCGGCCATGGGAAGCCAAAAAGAAGGGGTGATCCCAAACATGCTAAAGTATCGCTCGAATGGGGATGAACACCAAGAACTAGGGTTCGAGAGAGAGTGGGTAGGTAGCCGCCGCCGATTCATTGATCCACTGGATGCTCTGTTCTCTTCCGCGTCGTCCTTAAGTAGCTAGGCAGGGCCTCAGCTGGTCCACTCCGGCCCAGACACGCGGGTTGGGCCGCCTTGGTCTTGTGGGCCGCTGGGCAGTGTGGTTGCTGGTGTAGTCGCTGCCCAGCGGGTCCGGTGCGTTAGGCATGCTGACACTCTGGGAATAAATCAAGATACATTTGAAATTTGTTATCTGTACTACTATCTTTGTATGGTAATCTCTCTACACATCTTTTTTGAATATGGGCATCCTTGTGCAACTTCAGTCAGCCTTTAATCAGTGATGTGATGCCTTTTGATGTAGATGTTCAATACGTAATACACAGATTGGATTGGATTGGATTGGCTTTTGATTGATTATTACTGGGAACGAGCATATTAATATTAATTGGGGATGTATCTGCTTTTGTTTTCACATTCTTATTTTCTCCGTGGGACAGACTTGAACCAGCTAACTGCTGACAGACAGTCAAGGGCACACCCAACCATTTTTCGATCTGTGGAATCGCCCAACCATATCTTAATCTCTTCCTCAAACGAACCAACGAACGAGGGACACACCCGCCATATTTTAATCTGTGCAGAGTCTCTCTGTCTCTGCACTCTTAACCACAAACACATGAGTCATACTTGAGAGATGGGAGAGCAATAGCCTGTTACGTCAGGTCGCTCGCTCGGTTCACCATGTACTGGTTTGGTCCAGTTTTTTTCCCGATTTCCTTACCAATTTCTTTACGGTTTTCTTAGTTTTTTCATCTGTTTTCTTCGATTCTT